ATATATTATATATATATATATATAATATAAATGTAAGTATATAATTACATACATGTACGAATTATATGTATATATACATACACATATATTTTATGCTCATTTGACGATAAGCATTAAAACATAGCGTCAAGCTTTTCCATTTTCATGATCGGATCGCGAGAAATTCTCACGCATGTGCTTAAGTAATACGTAAGATACGAACGTATTTATCTAGGAGAAATTTTATTCGTCGTGAACCCTATTCCCTTGCTTTCGTTCTTCGCGAATTTTTTTTACATGCGAGGCTAAAGCGCGAGTGGAAATCACCTTGTAGAAATGATGAAATTGGCGCCGGATTTACGGAGATCTGCGGGACCTGCGAGATTCTGTTCGGATAGAAAAAAAAGATCTTAGGTACCGACCTACATGATCTACATAATTGTATCTCATTATGCGACGGCGCGTGTCTCGGAAGCGGAGTAAAAAGAGTATCATTGTCTGTAATTCGCGCGCTATAACTAATTTTTAATCTTCTTCCCTTTAATTCGGATCCGCCCCGTGCTACGCTCATTTCTACTGATGTGAATTAACTTCAACCTCGGTTTAACTTAATTTTTATCTGATTTTAAAAATCAGAAAATAATGAATAAATTAAATCGAGAGGTTGAAGTTAATCTGCAGATTATTTTTTTGTAAAAATGGACAGGGAAAGGGAGAGTGATAGCAATTATAAAAGTGAGAATTATACAAGTTCCAGAATTATTGTGCATATAATTGAATACGGTATTTTATAGTCATTACAACTTATTCAATTATGAATGTTAATTAATTTTTTAATTAATTAATGTTCAATTATGAATATTAATTTATTTAACTGAATATTAATTTATATGTACATTAATTCTATATATAAATTATGAACTAATTTATTCAACTATATATATACTCTACATATAAAACTTGTACAGTTGTTACCTTTATAATTGCAACCACTGTTTTTCTCTGAGTGTAGACGAACCAGGTCGAATTCGACTCATCGCGATTATTTCGCAGGAAAAAAAAATCGTTATTATTCTATTGAATTTGTACATACGATGAGGCGCTGCCCGTTCTCGATCGGCCAAGGATACGTATTTAAACATTCGACGGTTAAGAGGAAAAACGCGAGTCGTGCTCGGCTATCTATCGGTCGGGATGCAACGCGTTACTTATGTTACGTGCGCGAATCATATGCATAATTACTACTAGTTAATTATAAGATACACATAGATATATACGCATTTATACGTAAGAGGGACACGAGACGCTTCGGATTACGTTCCGGAGACGCGGTTTTTTACGCCTTATCATCGAAAGAGAAAGACGTCCCCGACATCGGCGGGTCTGTTCATCATTTATTTTTTTCCTCGTACGTACACGAAAAGAAAGATGTATTAACTAAAGCTTTGAGACCCGATCCACAATAGATATAGTAAGCCTTCGTCTTTCACTTCAAGCTCTAAACTGTAACGTATTTGTTATTGATAAAAGCACGACCTTAAGTCTTAATCCTTAAACTTTAAACGAGCTGGCCAGATCGCAACACTGGAAAGTTTAGGAGCTTATTGTTAAAGCGAATTAATGTCACAGCTCAGAATAAAAGGCTCTCTGCATTTATTGCTAACCGGGTCTAATTGAAATTAATCTTGTTAATTCGACATATCGTACTCTTATTTTTAATGGAAATAAATATTTGTATCATTAATCTTTAGAGGACCGTTGTGAAGTCCCGAAATTAGTGTTTATTACGTGTTACACATATATATATTTTTTTAGAGCGAAGTTTTCGCAATTTAAGAGAAAAATTCCTACAGCCCTCTAATGATTTATTATATTATTGTTGAAACAACGCTGACGAAAAAAATTCTCGTAATATCTCATTTTAAGAATTTTTCACGTTTTAAGTTTGTGAAGATTTCTAAAAAAAACCTTATGCTTCTTCAAAGTTTTGTTAAGTTTTCTTTAGCAATTATGAAATGAGAAATTTTAGGATATTTCAGAAATTCACATATATAAAGAATTCTATAAAATATTTAGACTCGAGCATTTCTATTCGTATAAAAAAATCTGAAAGATAAAGAACTATTAAGAAGTTATAAAATTATATAGAAATTGTGAAAAAATCGAAAATTTATATAGAAATTCTGAAGAATTATGTGAAGCATTTTTACCAGGGAAAGATTATTTCCAATTAAATCTAATGCTGTTAATACATCATTTTTTCGTGAACAAATCTCATAGTACATAAAAAAAGGTGGAAAAAAATATCAGAAGAAATCTCTCGTTTTAATCTTCTCGTTATGTTTGCACACATCGCGTTGATTTTTGTAGAAGTAGCGTTATCAGTTATCGAGTTAAACGAAAATTGTTATTTATTATATATAATAGGCGTATCATTGTTCACTCATACACACGCAATACACTGGATAACTAGCGACAACAGGACGACGATATTATACTGATAATTGCGAAGGGAAGAATCAGTTGTATACACGCTCTAGTTAGATCATAGCCGAGATTAATTTTAAACTGGACTACGAAGTATTGATATACGATAATGTACGTTTTCACGAGTAAAAAAAAAAGATACGATAGGCCGCTCTCAATCACTCGCAATACGAATAATAGCAATGTAAATGAATCGTGTAACGAGAAAGGGGAAGAAAAAAAGAGAAAAGAAAATGCAATCGGCGAGCGCGGGCCTTCGGCGAGCACTACTCGTTAAAAATCTTAGAACTTTTACAAGAAGAGGCTCGAGTAGGAGTGCAATTGATATCTAGTACAATTTTCTAAGTCCGCGTGATCGGCGGGAGGTACATAATGTGTATGTTCAGTGATTATCTCACTTTTCGATATATATTATTATTATTGGAATAATAAAAAGTTAGTGCCAGATCGACGCAGTCGACTTCATTATTATGCATCCAGTTTTCGTACGGGATATTCCCTCTCCATTATATTTCGAGAGGGCAAAGAAAAGACAGTTACTAACGTGATGCGTGTTTCTGACTGCTGATTTATTATTATAAACGACAAAGTACAATAATATATTATAGTACTATTATATATTACTGCGCAGTTAGTTACAGACGATAAAAATAAATTTTATATATATATATATATATATATATATACACAATTATATATAAAAAATGAGTTATATATAATTACATATTAAAGGAAATTTATAATTTATATATCAATTATAAATTGTATTTAAACGTAATTATTAATATATAAATACATTTATCTATATATAATTGTTTATACATACGCGATATTTAATCTCTCAAAGTAAATAGAGTGTAAATTCGTAATAAATATTAAATTGTGTAAAAACTTAAAAACGAACGTAAGTGTCCTGGACAGTGTGCAGTAAAGTTCCATGACGCGCGAAGAAAGTCACGTGAGTAGCCGAAAATTTATTAGATATTAACAATATCGTAGGAAGAGAATTGGCTATATTTTTGGATCTTTCGTCTGATAAACATCAGGCGAGCATATCGAATTTCTCAATTTCTGAATCAAGACTTCAGTCACCGCGAGAAGAGGATTCCGGCGATTTTCGACGTCACAAGGAGGTGAAAATCTTAAATCTGTTAAAATAAAAGCAAGATAAAATTCCGCATGTAAGAAATTTTTTGGTAACAATCTCGCTTATACAATTTTGCGATTATCTCACGTTTTATCAGAATGAGGCACTCTCATGCTAATTATACAGTAAAATAGTCAAGCAAGAAAACTTGGCTACAATCTCCTCACGATATATATATGTACTGCACATAGCACACGAACGCTTTCCTTTAGCGTATATAAAATATAAACTCTCAAAAAAATTTAATTCCCTTTCCTCCGTTCTTTACATTTTTTGGTTATTGCGTCACAGCAGAGTAAATACCAAAAGAATGGTAATTCCTACGTTGAAATAGGTAGACTAGACTATGCTAAATCACGATTTCATTTCTTGCCGCGTAACACTGCTCGTTACACGGCGAGATTGAAATCTCTGAATTTGGGAAACACCACCGCCCTCCGAATCGCTACTTACAAAAAGCGCAGGATTTGTTCTTGTAACGTTATCTCTACCGTGTACTCTTCTAAAGTAAAATATTAGTCGTTCACGATTAATCCTTTCTGTCGAGAAACGCGTCTTTTCGATTAGGCGAATAGCAAAATCGTTATAAATAATATAAATCTCGCTTATAAAAGATGCTCCTCTCCTCTCTCGAATGCACGATTCTAATTCCTCAGTCTCTAACGCTACTATAATTCTATCTAAACGCGTACGAAAGTTAACAACTGTTGTCTTTCAATGTGTGGTTTCAACAAATCGATCTTATCTCTTTTTTTTGTCATTAATAACTAACGTAACATTCTTGCACTTGTCGACATTGTCCCGCGACAGAATGTTATACAAATCGCGTGCGTGCCGTACAGTATTGACGCGATTCGCATATAACGACGTGTAATCGATCGAAAAGACAATTGATCGCAAAATGACTGCGTATACGATAATTTTTATGAATAAATAAAAAACATTTTTCACTCTAATGACTAGCGTATTGATTGCATAAAGCGCACGTCCGACAATTTTTATTTAGATGTATCTCCTCGACGAAGACATTTCTTTTATTTTCCTCGAGATATTGTCAACGAAATTCTTCGACGTACGCTTCACTTCTTTTTTCCCTTGAAGAAGGTATTTTCTTTTTCTTGTCTTCTTAATCTTCCTTTCTCTCAAATTTCTTACGATCGACAAGACGTTACAGCACACACACACACGTGTTCTCTGAAACCTTATCATCACTAGGGTGGGAGAGGATAATGGGAGGAAGGCGACAAATTGACCTCCGGCCTCACTCGGGATCGGTTTCCGCTTCGCCGATCGGCAATATTGCAACGGGACCAGCAGCTGCTAGCTTGGCTTTGTACGCTTCCGGTTCGAACCAGCGAATCGGTGCCTGTCAAGAAAGAGAAATTAGTTCTCGGATGAACCTCGCAATATAAATAAGAGAGCATTAATCCCTTTACCTTACCTTGTTATAAGCAGCATGCTTCGATTCGGTTGGAAAGCTAAGTGTTAAATTATGTGTGGGCACATGCAGGCAATAATCGTAAGTCTACACACATTTGCAAGCGTAGTTTACACGATGCTTTTCTACTCTGGTGATTGGCACATATGTAATAAAAATATTGTATTTTGGAATGTTTTAGTAAATTGGTTTGTGCGCCTTTTTTCTTTCTCGCCACTCAATCAAAATGTGCCTATTTCTATTAATAGATTATTTTACGGTTTAATTTACTCTTTATCTCTAATTCTTAGAATTAGGAAAGTAATTAAGTTACACCGAAATTAAAATTAATCTAAATTGATAGAAATGAATTATTAAACTAATCTGGACTGATTTTCACATTTTTTTTTTTTAGCAGTGAGAAACAGAAAATTACAGTTCTCTTTACTGATCGAGAATCTCATTTTTTACTTATTTTTTTTAAAGGAAATATTGAGCTAATCTATATACTAATAATTTCAAATAAATTGTAGAACAATATATAATATGTCTTAAAAAATCTTAAAAAATCCAAAATAATTATTTAAACAATTAACTCAATGTCTAGATGACTTTATAATGACTTTTAAAAATAGATATTTTTTAAATATGTACATTTCAAAAGAGACATTTTTATGTCTTTATGACTTCTTTAAGACATACATGTCGTCTGAGAAGTGATCATTCTCATATTAAGCAAGTACACATATTTACAAAGCATCGTATGAACTGCGCTCGTCCGGTTTGCAAAGAAATGCGCAGAGAGCAAGACTCAGCGGATTTTGCAATACTCATTTATTAATACAGCGTGTATGTGAGTTTAACACACAACACTAGTCTTATTAGTCTAGTCTTATTAGCCTCTTTGTATACAAGATCAAATAAAACAATCTCATGTTCAAATAACTCCTTAACAAAGTTCTTAGAACAAGAAAGAGAGAAAAAGAGAAAGAGAAACAAAAATAAAAAAAAATAAAGTTTTTCACAATATGAACAATTAACATAATATACATATATATATATATATATAATACGAAAAACAGTTTAAAAACATATCGTAGTATATATCTCTAAATTCGAAATATAGGAACGTAGACTTTCGAATTTCAATACAAAGAATATATAAAACTTTGTCAAATACTGGATACTCATTGACTGTTTCACACTGTTGCATGTAACAAACTAATCGAATCTTGATTAACTTCTCGAGTTAAACATAAAATGTCTTTTAATTACATTTCGTGATCGTAGTGATTTGTATGAATTCAATCAGTCAATTAATCGCGGGAGTTCAACATGCAAAAGTGTTTTTGGGAAACTAATCGTAAACGTAAAAAAAAATATGTATATATGTATGTATCACATATCATGAAACTCGCTTACAATCTCTTTGGTCTTGAGTAACTTTTAGAAATTGTCATCTCCTCTATTATTGCAAAAGATTTAATATCTAATCACACATATTGTGAAGGAACTTCTAAAGTCTTTTAATTCGCGAAATCATATTAAGATTCCATGATAATCTCCATTAAACCTTCGCTTTAACTAATTATTATTATGGAGATTTTTGAGAGATTCCTGTATTATTAAATACAGTTCGGTCTCTGCCTACATTTTTCCTAAAAAGTGCTTTCCTTCTCTTTTAAAAAGGCAAAAGTAGAGACCTAACTGTGATTATTTGTTAAATGGAACCAGATCTTATTCTTCATTCCTCTCCCGCCTGAATGCATGCGGTTAATACCGCAATAATCACACTCGTGACACACCGCATTCTCGGGAACGCAGACTTTTCTCTCGGTGAAACGTTAATGCATATGTAGTGAATTATTATGATGTGTGTTGTATACAAGAATATTAAACTGCGGCGTTGCAGGGAAGAGTAACGCGGAAGGTTTTGCACGGTATATGATTGGCGTTCCTGTCGCACAGCGGTACCTTACGAACTATATTGGGACATTCCTTCTGTATGCGCGCCCAATCAGCGGGGGGCCGCTTTGCGTACGGGCCCGCCGCGCATAGGAGTAGAAACTCGTACGTAAGTTCTCTCGCTTCTGGAACTAAGTAAATAGAACGGACAAAGTTAGAAAGCGTTGATTAAAAATAATATCAAAAAAATAGAAGGGTATATAAGAGTCAATTTAAACAATTGATGTATATAATGTGAATCGTTTAAAATCTATACATTCTTAATTGATTACTATAAGGTATTTGGTAATATTACATTACATGACATGTTTCACATACGTTATGGATTGTATTAGTGACTAGTTATAATTCATTTGACTTTTTTTATTGTATTTTTATTACGGTTTTTGAATATCTGAAGATGGTACAGTCATGATGTCGAAAAGTGTCATGTAATCAGGATTGTCTTATCGCAATGAAAAAATTAGAAAATTTTTCGTTTATCCATACGTTATTCTTAATTTTATGGAAATGAAATTGATCGAATTTGTTTTCGAACAAACTTGGCCATATAATGTAAATTAATTATAATAAGTTAATAAATTTGAATTAACGTTAACAGAAAATGAATTAAAAATTTTCCACTTTTCCAGGTTTTCCAGATGAAAGTAGAAAATTTTCCATGAGTAATATAAAATATGTAACTTTTAACATTTAGACTCAAGGATTGTAGGAAAGCTAGTCTATATTAATAAATATATAAAATGAGGCTTGAAAAAATCTATCAATGAAAAATATAAAAAAACCCATCAGAGTCTACATCGGTTGTTCGGAGATGTACAAAAAAACTCTTTATTTTCGTGTGAATGTAACACAACGAATAAAATAAACATTTCAACCCTTCAATTCGGGTTCTTATCAATATAAAATATAAATCGAAATTACATAAGTAACGCAAATTCCAAGATGGTGATTCTTGACAATTTAGCTCGTTCTTTCTGTATCCAAATGCCAACTTAGTCTATATTATTAAAAATAACGCAAAAAAAGCTTAGTAGCATAGTACAATTTTGGGTGCAAATTCAAACCACATAAAATAAACAGCATAAAATAAATTACTACAATATGGTATATATGCAAGTACATATATAGTATATATTAGTAATTCAAGATTGAATTATTAAAAAGCAACGAAGATCCAGCTCCGACCGTAATAGGCAGTTAAATTTCTAGTATTAATTGAGTTTCTAAAATAAATTAGTTTTGGAAAAAAAGAATGCAGTTATGACGAAAAAGAGGGATCAAATAAAAATACTGAATAAAATATAAATTTTAATTATTTTATTAAATTCGTTTAAAGTGCGCAAGTTTTGAACGTATACTTGATTATAAACGTCGGATATAATATTTAAAAAATTATAACAATTATTTGGAATAGGAGCAGTTTCAAGGAATTGTGAGCAAATTTCGAAATTCCAGATTTTTTTTACATTTTCCCGACTTTTCATGGTTTCCATGACCAATTTCGATTTCCCTGACTTTTCCCAGTTTTCCAAGTCTGTGGCAACCCTGTGTAATGTAATATTATCAAATATCTTATATTAATTAAGAATGTATAGATATTAAACGGTCCACATTATATACATCAATTGTTTAAATTTGACTCTTGTATACTCTTCTATTTTCTTGATATTATTGTTTTTGTTAATAAGTCCTTTATTTTAATTTTATTTTTCAATCACGTTAATTAAAATTTATTAATTTATTATAATTAATTTACATTATATGGCCAAGTTTGTTCGAAAACAAATTCGATCAATTTCATTTCCATAAAATTAAGAATAACGTATGGATAAACGAGAGAAATTTTCTAATTTTTTCATTACGATAAATTATCCATGATTATATTTTAATGTTTAATATAACGATGTTACTTTGCGGTATTATATTTGAGTACCTTGTTGAGTCGAGCCTAGCTCCTCAGGGATCGGACGAGGCTTGTAAGTTTCTTCGCTCTCCGAGGAGGTCGCGGCGCTTTCCACACTTAACTCTCGGCCTAGAGAAACAGGAGCGTTCACATTGTCCAACGGCGACAACGGCGTGCGGGGAAAATTGGAAGGGGGGGTGGTAGTTACGGAAAAGGTGGGCTCATCTTCGTAATTGAAGTATTCTATCCCACTAGTGAAGTTCTCAGAATCGCCCAAGAAATGTTCGTCCAGCACCAGTTTTGCCGTCTACAAGTCATCAGTTTACAGAAATTACACATAAACAAAAGCAAACAGAATACATGCAATAAACAACATATAGAAATAGATTAAATTAAATATTGATCAAGGCTCCTGTTCATTGTTATCTCTGATTGTGATGTCAAAGCGAGAAAATATATAATATAAATTCTTGCAAAGTATATTAATATGGAAATGTTTCAAAACAACATTTGCAGTGGAAAATTGTTATAAAATATACCGAAACTCTCCTTTTGCTTCATTAATTAATTAATAACCATATATCTGTAAATAAATTATGCGTAATTAAAAACAAAATTATAAATATATTAATATAGAAATAAATAAGGTTTAATTTCTCCCCGAAATAAGATTATTTTCGGTATATTTTGCAAATCTATTGCAAAAGTTGTCTTATTGAAAAATATTTCTGTATTCAAATATAATTTCCAAGATTTTTTATTGTTTTCTTGCTTCTGACGTTGTAAACTAATGTAGTAATGATAAATGAACAGAGACCTTACGATAAATCTCTTTTTGGCTTAGCAAAAATTTTATTCTTTTCCTTTACTTACTTCCACTTCTTCCTCTTTATTGTTTTTCTTATCCTTCTCCTCCTCTATTTCTGCCCATAATTTCCACACTCCTCCAACTTTTACTTTTCCTATTCCCACTATTACGTCCTCCCCTTTATGTCTCTGTTCTATTGCCCACCTAAGGATCTTTCTCTGAATTTCCCTTTCCTCCCAACTTGTTTCATGTTCAATAAAAATGTTATATCTTTTTAACTTGTATTTATTCTGCATTATTTCATTCTTTTGCTCTACGCTCCCAATCCTTGCTACTATTACTGGTCCACTACTCCTACTACTTATCACTTTACATTCTACTTCTAAGTTTTCTTTTATAAATGCCTGTACCCACTTTGCCCTGCCAATTATGTTTTTCTCTATGTCTTTAGGAAATAATATCCCTTTTATTACTATATTACATTTTCTCGTTTCATTTTCCTCCACGTCTACAAGCAATTTTTTTAATTTGTTCACTTCCCAGTTACTCGATCTATCCTCACTACATTGCGATATGGACCTTGCATAATTATTCACTCCCCTACTATAATTACTTCCGCTCTCACTATATTGGCTCACTATATTTTCATCATTTACACTCGAATCTTTCTCTTCTTCACTCATTACCCACGTGTCTATACTTTTTTCCAAACTTTCTAACTTTTCTTCTTCCCATCTTCCTAGTTCTACTTTTTCTTCTAACTCTTCTACTTTCTCTTCCAACTCTCTTATCCTATCTTCCCACAATCTGTCTTTAATTCTTACGTACTCTTTATATACTTTCAGTTCCTTTCTTAATACTGTCATTTCTTTGTCAACTTGTTCGATTAAATCATTTTTGAATTTTTCGAGTTCATTGCTAACCTCGTTATCCCTCATTTTACTTATTATTTTTTTATTACTGTCTCTTTCCTGCGTAATTAATTTATTTTGTTTACTATTCTGCATCAACTGATCTATCTTACGTATGCCACCCCTGTTTCCTGCTTCTTTCGATGCCATAACCTCTTTTCCCGCCCGATGTTTTCCATAAAAAAAAATTCTACCTTTCTACTTAACGCTTTCCTTTTCTTACATTTGTCTTTCTACGTCCTTCTACCTATATGATTCACCTTTTTCTACTCTCTACTTGCTGTCTACTTGCTCAATTTATCTCTCTATACAATCTATATACATATGGCGTCCGACCCAGTCCACCCCTAAAAAGATGCAAGTGCAGCACTCTTTCACGCCATCTAACCAAGGGCCTGTTCTTTTTGGCTAAACTATTGCACCAGTTCATCTTTCTTCCTCTTCTTTCCTTCTAGAGAGAAAAGGAAAAAAGACGAACTGGTGCAAAAGTTCAGCCAAAAAGAACAGGGCCTCATGTTCTAGATAATCAAGAAAATAGTGACAATTTTTCTCGGAATTTGTTATTGAACTTTTCAAAATTTTATACAAATTACAGAATTTTCCACAATTTATATATAATTTTATAATCTTTTAGAACATTTCTCAAATTTTTTTTTGTACAAATTGGAACACTTCAGAAGTGTATGATTCTTCTAAAATTCTTCATATATGTATGTAAATTCTGAAATATTCCAAGATTTCTCAATGTATAATTTCTAAAGAAAACTTATAAAATCTGATAAAAGGTCAAAGTATTTTTTCAGAAATTTTCATAAATTTAAAACATGACACAAATTCTTAAAAATATTATAAGAACTTCTTTCATCAAGGAAGTTTACTATAATTTTCAGAAATCGTCATAAAAAATGATACAAATTCTTAAAAATATTATAATCTTTTTTATACCCACCACAGAAATCTTTAATTTAGGATTTCATCCATATCTAAATTCACAAGATAAGAGACCCAAGGGTCCCTTCCGATTTTGATGAACTTTTAATATGTTGTTTTGTGGACAAAAATAAAAAAAACATGTATTTTTTATGTCATATGCACTTTTAAAAGTGAAATACCTCTTAGAAAAAAACCAGTGTTTTTTTTCGGAGTGAATATTATAAAAAAAATGAGATAGCAAAAATTGAAATAAATGTTGAATGACTTTTAAGAGTACTTTATAATAATATTAGTTAGATATTGAAATTTAATCAATTAATTTTTCATTCAGTTCAATAAAATTAGCCGAATCACATAACGACATGGGCGGATTTTGTCATTACCCTGACAAGGTCGAGATTGCAGCCCGTAATTTTGAGGGACTGATTGCCGACGGTGACGGTGTACTTGTATTCGCCTATGCTGGCGTCGTTGGTGGAGAGACTGTGCAGGAGGGACGAACGTAAACGGGAGTTGTGCTGTTGATTCTGTTGTTGCAGCCGGTTGCTCTCATCCGACGCGCTACTATTGAGTGAAGAGCTGGAACCTCCCATGGCTCCTTTCTCGCCGCCGGTGCTCTGCTCCAGTCTCACTGGCGATGCATTTCGTTGTATCGTATCTTTGATTAAGTCCTTCGCATAACTGAGAAAAAAGGAAAGACAAAAGGGAGCGATATTAAAAGCTGCTACGTACGTGATTCGTTAAATATGCTATTAATTAAGATCTAGATATAAATACATTTATTATTTAGCTTCTATCAGTAAAAACTTCAACTTTATTACAAATATAGTATTTAAACATACTGAATCTTGTCCTCGGACGTTCCCGTGATTTGGACAAGTCGTTCTTTAGCTCCAGGGTTTACTACAAACCAAGATACAATGTATCAGCGGCGCAGTTTTGTCAATATTGATATTTATTTAAGAAAAAGATTTATGTGCTAGTTATCGTTAACATTTTTTACACAAGTCCAATGACACAGTTAATATGTTAAATAATGTGATATTAAATTCTGTTAAGATATCGCAAAAGCGAAGTAAGTACGATATACAACGTATTTAAAAAAAATATTTGAACGTATATAAAATAACATTTAAATATCAGACCAAAAAATCGTTTTGCGCGTTTAGAGTTAGGCGATATTAACGAACGTCAAAGTATTAATTGAATGCCAACCTTCCCCGTCCATGTGGGACTCGCGATATACAATCCATCTGTCGATCTGGCGCGTTAATAAATTGGTAATATAATATCTTTCTACTCGGTTCTTAAGGATGTATCAAGTGTATAGTCTCTGCAAAAAGTGACTAGAATTGAAAGTTTAATTTACATATAAAAATGAATATTACGTACATCTGAAACAGTGTAATAAGATCAATATTTAACAATAAAATCACAGTTTAAATGAAAATTTCCTCATTTTATTTTAATTATTTTTTAAAAACATGTCTACTTTTCACTGAAATAACTTTAAATCCAGATTTTAAATCACCATCCAACTTATTAACTTTCAAATACAATATAGAAAAATCTGTAATTTTTTTTCATATTTGTTAAAAAATACGTGTAATACATCCTTAAAACTGCGAGCGCAACATTCATATATTTCACTCATCAGGCTGTTAAAGAGACACATTCCACAACGATTGATATAAATTGTAGGTACATATTACGTATTAGAGAAAAAAATATAATATTTCGTCCCATCTATACGATTTTAACAGAACAGAAAAAAAGAGAAAAAGAAAAAAAAACCAGTTTAATTTTTATTGCAAAATGTAACACGACTTCACTGTCATCATGTGAAAGAAAGCTGATGTGCCCTGCACTTCTCGATTAGTAGATCACGTTGCAAAAACTAAAATACTAACTCAATAGCCTGATCATGATGGTTAGATAAAACAGCTTTGTCATGCAAAAAGTGACCCGATAAAAAAATATTGGCTGCGACTTTTTATTATAGACTTATTTTTTTTTATATATGTAAATAAAATTTTAAAAACAATAGCGAATACAAGTTTGCCGCATCAAACTCCAATGCTCAGTGGTGTGAGAGAAGATTAGAGAGGTGTTTTTGTGTGGCGTAAGAGAGAGCTTCGTTCGACCGATTAATACTATTTTTGCGATGCATGAGCACAAAATGCTATAACAAGCCATGGCGGATCATTCATTGCTTTACCTCGCTGGAAGGAGATGATCGTCTGGCTGAGCTCTTCTATCATGTGAACCCGCCGCCCTTTTATTCCCATCACTGTATTTTCGTGTAAATTATTTAACAGAACGGCCAACATAATTGGAAAATCATTAAAAAGTCCGATACAACCAAATTTCACTTTACATAAAAATGAGATCGTTGTTTCCATATCTCACATACAAATCCCTACTAATCACATCGCGACATACTAAAAATATTGTAAACAATTTATAAAGTAATGTAATGAAAAGATTGTCAAAATTGTACGGACTGCATTTTAATTCGTGTAAAAATCGAATATACCTATATAATTCAACAGAAATTTTATATAACAAGAGTAAAAGCAATGAAATTACCTTTGCCCGAGTCACTGTTGCGAATGACGACCTCGTCTTTACAATAATTTTTCCCCGGTATGCGCGTAGGCTTCGCGAACTTTCCACTATTCTTGATCACTTCCCCAGGCCCCAGGGTCGGTGCCGTGGTGGGTGAAGTTAATAACGGGGACGACAGAGAGTTCGTAGATATATCGGGTACCGAATCGATCTGCTAGAATAAGAAACAAAATTATTTATTCTAATATTAAATAAAAAAAACTTAATGCAAGATTTTTTTATCAATATTTTGATACAGACTCAAAATCCAGGAAATAAATTTGAATATTTTGATTCATTAAAATTTTTTAATACTGTGTGGTTTTAAAATGCAATTTTGATATAACTGATTATAGAGACAAAAAAATTTTTAACGTTTCTTTTTTTCCTTTGTTTCCGTTTTTTTTGCAACCAACTAAAAAAATTTTTGAATTACGTCGTTATTGTAGCAAATTAGCAACATATTGAGACGCGCTAAGAATGTAATTTACTTAAATATCCAAAAAATGTTAATTAAAAATCTTTATTTTCATCAAGTATGATCACTATTCTTATTTTCGCTTTCACATATCTCAATTATAATTTTGAAAAGCTACACGAGTGTAAAAACGCTATGAATAAAATACGAGTTTTACCAACATTGTCTAAATGCGACAACTTCTGCATGTAGTACACGTCCATCGAATCGGTGTGACGCCATTGTTTCGCTCGCAGCTCGATGAGTTCCAGCAGATGAACCCTGGTCGTCAGATCTAATCTGTCGTCCTGGCTCCCATTTCTGATCGCCACAAAGGCCCGGTCCAGCTGATCTAGAATAAAAAAATAATTACTTGCAAAATTTTATTTAAACGCACGAATTAAAACTATCATCAAATTGCAATCTACTATGAAAAATCTATCCTAAAACAGCAAGAAAGAGCTACTATTTACGTATACTACTGAGCTAGCTTTTTAAGATACGTTTTGAGTCCAAAGGATCCTTTACCTTTGTAAATAGCTTCTAATTGATTGGCATAGAGTTTCAGATGACTACACATAGAGATTACATTTATTTGCAGCGTTCGGTCATGGAAGCCATTGGTCAGTTGCATTGCAACATTGTCGATTAAGGACACTATATCCTCTACTGAAAAGTCAGAAGCAAAGAGTTCACAAAGAGAGTCACCATTTAATACAAAAAAGAATAAATGCTTATCAACATACAATGCTTTACAAGAAAATTATTACACCTTTATACAGGGTGCCCCATTTTAAATAATACATTAAGATTCTCGAAAATTATAGTAGATACGGAAAAATGTTTCAAACAAAAGTTGTATGGTTCGTATCAATTTTTTAAAATGGAAACCTCATTTTTTTATTGCATATTTTTGTATTTTATTTTGAGAGCTCTTCAAAACATTGTAACAAAATATTTTTTCATGGAGTACTCTCCGAGTTATAAGGCTTGGAAGTAACTGTATTGCCAACGTTAGCATTACTCAAGGTATCACCCTGTACAAGAGATTACAAAAGTTTAGCTTAGGAGAGAATAAACACGATAAGATTTACCAGTCGTGATCCGTCCATCGACGGTCGAATTGCGCTGGTTCAGCTTAAGCGGCCGTGGTTTTTCGAGCTTCTTTACAGTTCTGGCTCTGTTCAATTGTGCGGTAGCCATTGTGATCCTGCAACAAAGGTAATACATTAAAAAATCGAATGTCCAAGTAATATAATCTTAACTTAAAATAGAAGTACGCGCCGAAATAATTTTTCGGTCTTGAAAACGCTAACTCTACTAAACTACCGCAGTAATGTCACGAGTTAAATTGACTAGCAATTTAACAAATTTTTGATGCTTATTCGCATCTTCGAAACGATCTTAATAATGTTGAATAACATATTAAAATCTGTAAATAATTAATTCTTATTGCGAAAAATATTACCTCGGTCGGGAGTTGAATCCGGATCTCTTGCATTCCGTGAAAAAGGCGTTGCCTTGGTGGTCTAAAGGCTTAGGACGCTCGCACGGAATGCAAGAGATCCGGGTTCGACTCCCGCCCGAGGTAATATTTTTCGCAATAAGAATTACTTACAAATTTTAATATGTTATTCAACATTGTTAAGATCGTTTCGAAGATGCGAATAAGCATTAAAAATTTGTTAAATTGCTAGTCAATTTAATTCGTGATATTACAGCGGTAATTTAGTAGAGTTAGCGTTTTCATGACCAAAAAATCATTTCGGTGCGCGTTTCTGGGGACTACATACGTAGTATATAAATCCACACAAGAATCATACAAACATTTAAGATCCAGCTAGACCGTTTAAGGCTTCGATTTTTATAGTTTGTGTTATCACATATACAGTCCTATAATATATGATATTGTTAAAATAAAAGTAGTTTTATAGCTTCAAAAACAAAGCAAATGTAAGTAAATTGTCTATATCAGCTTCCAGAGTTTTAGTGTAGAAATAATTAATATAGTTGTAAAACGATAAGATATAATTCGCAAACAAAATTGGAATATACCTATTAACAAAGTTAATTGCAAAGTTTGATGATAAGTACATTTCAATTGTTTGCAAATTACATCTTATTGCTTTATAAATATATTATTGTGATTTCCTCATACAGGAAATTTATTTTACATAATTTTAATGTTTTAAATTATGGTAAAATTATGTATAAATAAATTTTCCGTGTAAGAAAATCGCAATAATATATTATACATAATAGTACATATAATCTAGGTCAAAAGTTTGGAAACACTTTTAGAAAAACTGATTTTTTATAAAAAATGTTTAATTAATGTTTTACTTACTGAAAAATTCATAATATGCTTTTTAACAATAATTCTTTAAAAAGACATTGTAATAATGATGAATATGAATAAATAATCCCACAAAAATATGCCAATTTTTAAAAAGTGTTTCCAAATTTTTAGCTTGGAGTGTACATGATATTATTTAATACATTAGTATTAAAGTGTACTCAATATTAGCGTTAATCATTTGACATAGAAACACTTATTCTAAGGAGAAAGCATACCGAGATTAAATGAAAGTTTCGCGCTGTACTGCCTTTCAATAAACTCACTTCTCCCGTATGAAACAATTTATTAAGCAGTACGAGAACTCGCAACGTCACTCGGTTTGTCCCAAATTCGGATTTTTTCGCAAAGCAAAAGTCTTTCGAAACACAAAAGATGACGAAGGTGAATCGGTGTTATCTTGCTCGGGTCGTTTCGCGGCGACGGAAATAATTTAATTTGCGGCGTCCACGGCGGCGTTCCCTCGTCGTCGCGCAAACAGAGGACGAATCGCGTAGCAAAACAGAGCCGGCGTGAGGGAACAGTGGTAGAATCCCCTTCGCCCTTGCCACCCTCGTCCTCCAAAAATATACTTCATCCGCGCGACGCACCGCGTAATGGCCACGTTTGTCGCGCTAAAGCCCAGTTTCACAATTCACGGTTAACTCTTAAGGAGGTTGTAAGGCAAATGCAATATGTTGGAACTACTTGAAAAAATTACAGACTATTCTAAATTTCATTTAATAATAATACAAAAAAAATAGAAACAATTGACCATCTGGATCAAAAGTTATTTAAATAAGTAGTAATATTTTTTTAATTTGTACTCTAATATAAATATATGAAAATGTATTATAAAATAATGATAAAAATCTCAATTTTTTTATATAAATACTGTAGGAATTCAACAATATTTTTGTAAAGTTATCTTGAGATGCAAACATTAATTGTTCAGTAAATAAATAAAATTTGTTATTTGTTATAAACTAATGGTGAATCTCAATGAAACTTTGCATAAGTCATGTTTAGTATTTAATATATTTATATAAAAACATTTAGATTTTTCTTATTATTTTAACAATTTTTGTTTATAAAACTAATAAAAAATAAAATAAATAACTTATAAAAATGTATTGCTCAATAAAACCAGAATGTTATGAACACAACTTTCACACGTATGTAGTTTGTTTAAAGTGAAAATATTAATATATATGTTTTATGCCCTTACAACCTCCTTAACCGAGGTTCAACTTATTTATCATCTTTTTCTAATTCTAGAATTGAAAAGAGATAATGAATAAGTTGAACTTCGGTTAAGAGTTAACCGTCAGTTGTGAAACTGGGCCTAATCGAGCTACAAAAATCCAGGCAAATCGTTCCTCTATCTATTAAAAAATAATACGTCCACGTATATATTTAATTGTGGGAAATAATACATGTATATCTCGGGAAGCTAAGATTATTGAGAACAAAATCTACAGTATTTTTGGTTTTTGTTATAATTTTGCTTTGGAAGATTAACTTTAATTTCGGTTCAATTTATTTTTTTTTCCTAATTCTATTAATTAAAAAAGATGAAGTGCAAGTTGAACTGAGATTAAAACTTATCTACAGAGAAAACAGACATAAATCATTTGACATATAAACACTTATTATAAACAATAAGTATAAAAATGGCAAATACGCGCGATTGTCGGGATGCAAAAATAAATTTACATATATAAAAGGTTTATTATAAAGAGAAAAAATATCATCTGAAAAAGAACGTTCTTTGTGTCAATTTTTTTGATAAAATTTTTATTAAAATTATAAGTTAAATTTTTAACACATTCAATTATTAATTTAATATAATGTGATTACGTTATTTAAATACTTTGTGTTAAATTGATTTCAGCATTCCTTAATGTCAAAATAACATAATTTACAAATGAACCAATAATATAAAAATAATGTGTTTTAAAAGGTAAATTCTGAGATAAATGAATAAAATATTTGTGTGTTAATTTAACACATTATAAATATTAATTTTACTGGCAAAAATATGATTCTACAGTTTGCTGACAAATTGCATCAGAATTACACAATTTTTTATGTTCATTCTTTACATATTTGTATTTTTTTAAACTATAGAAATCGAAGCCTTAAACGGTCTAGCTGGATCTTAATGCTTGTATGATTCTTATGTGAATTTATATACGACGTATGTAGTCCCACAGAAACGCGCGCCGAAAAATTTTCGATCTCGAAACGCTAAACTACCGCAGTAATATCACGAGTTAAATTGACTAGCAATTTTAACAAATTTTTGATGCGCTTATTCGCATCTTCGAAACGATCTTAATAATGATGAATAACATATTAAAATCTGTAAATAATTAATTCTTATTGCGAAAAATATTACCTCGGCCGGGAGTCGAACCCGGATCTCTTGCATACCGAACGTCTTAAGCCTTTAAGCCCATTCTACAATTGCGTAAGCGTAGTTGTAAGTGGTTGTAGTTGTAAGAATTGACTAATCACAGTCAAATATTTTCCTCATGTTTGATTATGATTGATTAATTCTTACAACTATAACCACTAAGGGGTCGTCTACAATACACGGAGTAAGAAGTAAGAATGAGAAATTGACCAATCACAGTCGATTATTCTTCTCACATTCGACTGTGATTGGTCAATTTCTTACTCTTACTTCCTACTCCGTGTACTGTAGACGGGCCTTTCTGTGGGACTACATACGTAGTATATAAATTCACGTAAAGTCCGATCTACAATTGCGTGAACGTAGTTGTAAGTGGTCGTATTTGTAACAATTCGTCAATTACAGTCGGATATTCTCCTCGTATTCAAGTGTGATTGGATAATTCTTACAACTACAACTACGTTTGCGCAATTGTAGATCAGGCTTAAGAATCATACAAGCATTAAGATCCAGCTAGACCGTTTAAGGTTTCGATTTCTATAGTTTACTTTTTATTATTTCTTACCTCTAAGAATTAGAGAGAACTATTGATGTAATTCAAATATATTTACTGTAACTGTTAGAAATATACCCTGATGATGGCCAGAAATTAGTCATAATGTACATTTTTCATCTTTATATTAATGTTTCCAATTTTTTCAGTTTTTTAATTTGTGGCCTTTACATCTTATAATGATGATCTACTAAATATTTATTTCAACATATAAATGTAACTTATTACAGTTACAATCCCTACAGTTTTTATTCTCCGTTTGAATTGATAGAGCAAATTAAATTGAGATTAAAGTTAATCCACAGTATGCCCATTTTTATCAATATTTTACTTTAATCTTGGTTTAATTTACTGTATATCTCTTTCTGATTCTAAAGCCTTGTGTCCATGATGCTAGAAATCGGTCCGAGTTCTCGGATCGAGAAATGTGTAATCAATCAATTTACCGGTTTTCCGTAAAAACTGTAAGCGGATTGGCTATACATTTCTCTATCCGAGAACTCAGACAGAGTTCTAGCATCGTGGACATTGGGCTTAAGAATTAGAAAGGGATGACTTAATCTACATTAGCTATAAACGAACATGATTTTCTAAAGTTATGCGAGTACTTTATACCCTGATAATGAAGTCACTACTTTCTTATTTTGATGACAAAGTTATCGTATAACAACAGAGTTCATAACCTCACTTTTAATATGAATTACTAAGCCTCGTTCGATAAAGCAGATGGTCTCGAATTTGTACAAATTATAGGTAAACATTCGATCGTATCTCACTTATCAAAATAGAAAGGAACGTGCATTCAACAGAATTATGACTTCATAATAAGAATCATTAGAGTTTTGTTGTAAATAAAAAGCAATTATTATTCCCATCTGAGTGGGAGAGGCAGATAGACAGATGGTGCAAGTAGACAAACGAATCTATTAGTGCATCAGAAGCGGAGAAATTATTTCTGGCGTTTGTGTATATGTATGCGCGCGCGCACGCGCACGCATGCACACGCACACACGCACGTGTGCACAGCCATGGAGCGCGCGCGCGCGCGCGTGCGAGTAATCGCACTTGACGCGCGCGGCGAGGAAACTCGCCGGAATTCCGGATATGGAAGTGTCCCGGACGGGAAAACGATGACGGCGACGAAAGACAGACGACGAAAAAACAGCGAGTTTACGCTTGGAGGAAAGAATGACACTGCCACGACGAGCGATGCGAATTGTACTTTGGACGTACCTTTCGCGAGATCCACCACCCTGTCGTCGGCCGTACGCAAACCGATCAACGGCACGCAGATCGTCCGGTTGAGATCCCGAAGACGACGGACCACGGATCGTCGACGTGCGTCGCGAAGATATATGCCGATTACCGAGAATTGGCGGCCAGTGCCGCCAATCACGTTGACAACGAGGACGAGGGAGGAAGTCACTAGATGCGGCTGTAAAGGTATATCCACACAAACTTGCATAGCCGCATAAACGTATGCATAAAGAAAATTATCCAATCACATTTTATGTGCGACTTTAAAAGAGAACTGCGATTGGATAATTTTCTTTATGTATATGTTTATGCGGCTATGCAAGTTTGTGTGGATATACCCTAAGGAGTGTAAAGCCCATTCTACAATTGCGTAAGCGTCGTTGTAAGTGGTTATAGTTGTAAGAATTAACCAATCATAATCAAACATGAGGAAAATATTTGACTGTGATTAGTCAATTCTTACAACTACAACCACTTACAACTACGCTTACGCAATTGTAGATTGGGCTTAACTCATGATATTACTGCGGTAATTTAGTTAAAGTTTCAAGACCGAAAAATCATTTCGGCGCGCAATTTAAGGGACTACATATATAGGGTGTCTGGAATTTAAATGTCAAAACTTCGGGAGAGTGTAGGGGATCGATGAACTAAGAAAAAAAGTCTCGAAAAATGCTCGTTTTTACTTCGTTTTAGAGAAAATCGCAAAAAAGACAAAACGTAGTTGCTTCGTTCTTTGCGTAACCTGCGTATTCTAGTAATTTACTAGAATACGTTATTTTTTATTTACTAGAATTCGCCATTCTGAAAGCCGGCATTCACATTGGGCGTATTTCGCGGAAGATTAGAGAAATGCCGGAACTAATGCAACCAATTGCTGATTAGAATTTCTGTTGTATACTCTAAAGAAATGCTAAACGAATTTATGATTGGTTTTCGTAACTTACGCAACTCGAAAAGTACGCCTCATGGGGAACCGGCATCTTTTCATCACGTATATATGAGCGGATAATCGAATAAATTATTAAAATTGGAAAATTTTGTGAGACCACTCTTAAGCCGTAATCACACTAGCGATTGGCGATTGTAATTGTTTTCGGATCGCGCTTTGTTCATTCAACAAAACATTTTTGAAGATAATACAAAAGTTATTGTAATATTTAAAAATTGAAGTTAACAAACCTACTGGTTGTTTCAACAAATATTTTATTATACCTAATTCAATCGTTCGGTTGAAAATATACAATATTTTATCAGTTTTATTTAGTTGAAGGACATATCGAACAGTTGATGTTATACAATGATGTGATATTTAATTATTTCTTTAGAGAAAAATAATATTTACTTTCAACTAAACTATGTATAAATCAACCGAGTTTTTATTTAACCTGGAAATTGTAATAAATAATTAATATAGTTAATTTTGAATCGCATTTGGCTCATTCATCAAAAAGTTTTAGAAAATGAACATAACTTTTTTACTTTTGAAAATTAAAAATTATCGAAATCTGTTGTTTAATTTAATAAAAACTTTGTCATATCTAACTTCACCGTTTGTTTGAAAATACACAATATTTATCAATTCTCTCAACATTGTTTAGTCAATTCGATATTTCGAAATTAAACAAATATATTACGGAAAGTAACTAAATGCCACGCAAAATTAAATAAATTCTACAGGTAGGGTAAAAGCAGGGATTATGGAATAGCTTTTTTAAATTAACATTGCTCCGATATAAATGCATATGAAGACTTTAAATTTACACAGAACTCTTGAGGAATATGTTAGCAACAACATCCAATGAATGAAAGTCGCCAAAATTTAAATCCAACGTCAATATTAACAAAAAAGTCAAGAGAAAATGGGGGGGTTTAAAAACGGGATGTAATATGGAATACCGAAATTTTGACCATAGTAATAAATAACATAATAAATGAAGTGCAAATTTGTTTATTTATATAAACTGATCAAGAAAAATAGAGAAAACTGTTCAATTTTTATTGTACAATAACACAGAAAATATAATAGCATAATTACGAACATTATTACGCATGGAGAAATAAAAAATCGCAAATAAGCTCATAAATCGCAAGTAAACTGATATAGAATACATGCTGTAATCTAACCTAACCTAATCTGATCACGAATAAGTTGCTAGTATGCATGGAATCTATTCCATATTCTCAAGCCTCGATGCATTCCACATTACCTGCATTTCATCATATGACAAATAAAGTCTTTTCGTAGTAATAAACAAGTTTGTAATAGTAATTAATCTGCATAATACTGTTCATGCAACATTATTAAAAGTCTGTGCAACATAAGCATTAAAAAACTTACCTTCAGTTTGTGAGAATACTTTTTAGAAAAAGCTGCCGAATCTTCTGACGTAACGAAAACGAATAAATGTTAATTGTAGCAAAACGGTTGGTCGGACCGAGTTCATTGCTTGTTATGACATGTTTGGTAACAGTTGCAATAACTTTCAGCGATTGCCGCCAGATTGCAATGCTTTGTTTAAAAAATAAGCCACTATTCCATATTAGTATAGCCTATGCCATAATCCCTGATTTTACCCTACTTCTATCAATATAATTTAGTTGAGTCGATTTAGTCATTTCAACTTAGATGGTTGACATAAATAAACTATGTATTCGCAAGTGCAATTAAATAATGGTTAAATCAAACATTGGATAAACCAATTATAAACATTTTGTCCGTATAACCAATTTTTTTTTTCAATGCACATTTACAAGAGATCATCCGAAGACGAGAAGAAAGTACACAATTTTAAAGAGTAAATATATCCCCTCGTATCTTCACCACCCCCCCCCCCCCCCCCCCACACACACATACATTCACACATACTATTCGCAAAATTCGATCAACAACCTCCCCATGGTGCCCAAAGGGTAATATATGCTAATACTGGCGGTAATTGAATAAAATGCATAGGTAAAATTGATGCGTTGTATTTCTTCGAAAAAAAATCGTACAACGCTTAATTCTTTTTAATTTTTAAAAGAAAAGTCCATACTTTACCATGATCATCATGACATTTACGAAAATAATGTACTGCACCCCGTAGCGTAGAGTACGAAAAGATATGTAAATTTAAAAAAAAACACGTCCTTATTTTTAAGTGATGCCAGGGGGGGGGGGATAAGGATATATCCAAAATTCATTGAAAACTTCGTAAAATACAGACTTTACCTTTCAAAATGGAAATGGAAACTTTTAAATGAGACTATTTTTGGCGGAGTTCCGCTTATTTGAATTTATGTAAAATTTTGATATAAATTTACCGATGCGATAATTTTATTGACGAGTGTATGTATGGGTATATGTATATAGTATATTTTTTACGGATTGCTCGAATACTTAACGTGGTTCTTCGATGAAAATTTTCATAAGAATTTACGTGAAGGAATACTTAATTGATCCTTAGAATCCTCACAACAATTGTATACTTTGCCGTTTTCAGTATAATATTTATTATTTATTATTTATTTATTTTTCATTTACATCAACATTCAACAATATTTAAACCTAATTTATTTAAAATAATTTAATCACAATCCTAAATTAATTATTTTTTTTATATTTGTTATCTGTTTCAATTATTTAATATTTTATAAATCGAATATTACATGCAATAATTGTTTCGACTAAAAGAATAAATCGTTTTCACAGAACAATGTCCATTATATGATTCTCCTCTCTAAAGCAAGGAACATGTTATTCTCAATAAACAGATCTATTAATTTCTGATGAAAAAAAATCTTCCCCTTTCTTTATAAACATAGCCTTTGTTTCGGCATCCAATTGTTGAAAACTTTCTGTCCGTATTACATTCGTCATGTTTTTAAAATAGAAGTTGAAACAATATTTCATTAATTCCTAAAGAATAGATACTACACATATAAGTGAATTACAAAACACTTAATAGATAGATTTTCAGAGCTAATGTATTATGCGTTAAACAGTGATATTCGTGTGAAGTAAAAAATTCGCGTATAGAAATTTTAAAGAATAGAATATTTTGCTGGGATAGAAATAAGAATGGAAAAAAAATCCCTATTGGATTAATACATAAATCCCATTAGAAACTCTATAATTTTTTCTTTTGTCTCAGAAAAGAAAGAAATCCTCAATAAAAAACAAAAGAAAATTCTATCAAATACCTTTTTGTAATATTCCGCCATTTTGTTGATAAGGTTAAAGAGTTGTATGACGTTTGATATAGTAATTGTTTTTTTTATTGTTTCTATACAATCTATCTGGAGTTTTTTGAGGCAGACTTCATCTGCCAGTTCGAAAAGATCTGCAACGACGAGATATTTAATCGCAAATTATGGATGTAATATGCGGCACGTTTAATTCAAACTCACCTAACAGGTCCTCAAAAGGTGATAGATTGATCCCACCGGTATATAAATATTCTAAAAATTTTTTATAAACCACATACCTATAATAATGGGTTTCGATGATGCTGTCAAGAGGAATATGTTAAAACATTACAAAGAAATCAAACAAAAAAGATTTTTTTAAATATAATTTTCTTTGTAAAAATATACCTTTGACTATTTTCAACAAAATTAGTTTGGAGCATACTTCTAAAATATATAGAACGAATCTTCAAGATAGCTTTGTGAACATAAATTGATTGTTTCTCGACTATTATCGTGAGATCACTCGTTGACTTTAAAGACGGGAAACAAGAATTAACTATTAAAGTTGAACATGTGTATTATGTAATCATCAAATTTTTCCATTTATTACACAATGAAAAAATGTATGGTGCAATAAAAAGAAAAACATTTAATCCTCAGTACCCACAACAAGTTAGCGTAACCCTATCGATTTTCATAGTTCAAACGTTCTTTTCCGATCTTTTTTTCACTTATTGCAAAATATTTTTCGTGATATGACATTTTAGACTTTCGAACTGAAAAATTCTTTTTTTTAATGGATGGTAGATAGATTTTTTTGAGATGTAGGTATACTGAGGGTAAGATGACAAATCACGAAACAAGAGATATTATTGAAAAATTCGCTAAGACTTTATCAAGGAGACAAAATAGGACTATGACAATCAATATAATCAAATTCGGCTAGTAAGACTTTCAATTAATGGCTTGCTTGCGGGTTTTAACATGCCATTAGTTACAAGACTTTGAAATTTTTTGATATCTTTTAAGGATTCAAAACTAAATTGTAAAAATAAATCGTACTGTTATCCTTATGGTACGTCATCGAAAATACTGAATTTGATAACAAATAAATACATATAATAAAGACTAACTGGATCGTTGAATGCAGTTTCCAAATCGTTTAGGATGTCAAATTCTTCATTTATGAATTCACGAGTCACGGATATTGGCGATTGACCTATCACCGAGTTGGATATGTCAAACACGTTCGTATATTCAAATATGGCAGGTTTTTTAAATGTTATTTCAAAAATACAACCCCATGTATACACAAGTCCATCCTCGTTAGACTTGACAAAATTTTGGGAACCAATGACGGCGATGTCCGATACTTTTTTTACATTAGCTACATTTATCTGCCAATCGAAAAATTCTCTAGATTAGTTTATGCTTTCCTATTTTTGTTCGGTTCGTCATAATACAATTACAGAAACAGATCATTTACCATGATAGGAGACAAAATGTCATCACCGTTATTCAGATCCAATTGTTTATAACTGTTCAAACCCCAGCCATAGACTTTTCCTTTATCGGTTAGAGCGAGTGTGTGATTAATTCCACAGACTACCTTGACTAAACATTAAGATTAAATAGATTAGGTTATTCTACAATACTAGCAGCCATAAATTCTTCATGTATACATCTTTTCATTTTCAGGAATATGTTTTAAAGAAAATTACCAATTGTTTTGCCTGCAAATTCCGCCATTTCACGTGGCTCTTCGACTATGAAAGGAAATTCGTCTAAAATTTGAGAAGAAGTACTCAAACTCAATTCCCCGCACAAAATTGTGTATATCCCCCAACTGAACGTTCTGCAGTTATCCGTAACTACCACATAAAAATTAGTTCCGCAACTCATGCACGTAATCTTCTCATTGATATCGACTTGACGCATACTGTAATGTATTCCCTCTTTCGAAACGTTTGTGTAACATACCTAAATTAAATAAGCGTAATATATCTAAGTGAAGATTGTAGAGTTAATAATTATTATTACTAATGTATTCATTATGATATCGTCGTAACAGTTTACTTTGCCATCATCAGTCAAAGCGAGAAAATTATTTATGCTAGTTGCAGCTTTTACAATTCTTGTGTTGCTCCAATCAATCTTATGGGAAATATAACATATATATCGTGAGGGCTTTTCAAGATTTGCCATAATCTCATTTTCATCCTCATCGTCTGTAGATTTATCATCAAAATAGGATTCAGTTTCTGCATTCGTATCGTTCCATACATACATCTTTTTAAAAAATTAAGTGATTACCGATTTATTCAGTTAAATTCATTATTCAAGACTATATTTTTAAATTAAAATCGTCAAATATTTCACTTTTCCTTAATAATACGAAAAAATGTTTCGGGTGAAATTGGAACTGTTTCGGGAGACATATATTTTGATTATATATTTTTCTAGGTGACAACGCTAAAAAAACACGGTCACCTCTACTATTGTAAATGTAATAACATGATCCTTTTACATAATATGATCCCTCTAATTATTCTACGTATAAAACTTCTATGAACAGAATATAATACGTGGGATCATTTAGTATAATGAAAACAGAATTCCTTATTTCTAAAATTAACCATTTAACTTCATATTTTTTTAACCAATTATGTTTTTTTTCTACAAATTGATTTTTTTTATTGTTCATTTGTAAAAATATTCAGGTATGAGTTAGAGTAAAAAGTATTCGTACAAGAAAATTTGTTTCTTTATTAAAAAAAGTCTTTGTAGAAAATAAACATTAATTAGCTCAATTTTATATAATGAATTCATTCTATTGTAACATGAACAAACGACCTTCGCATGTATTCCTGATTTTAGAAGGTAAATTTCTCGTCGGTACGAATACTTTTTGGTCATTCAGACAATATAATTTTTAATTTTCGCTTATTTTTCGGATGATATATATTGTATAATTAATATATTGTATAACACATCTTTTTGGTATATATAATTTTAAGAAACATACAGTCCATTTTGTTCCTTATGAATAAATGATTAATTATCCAACAAGAAATGATGGTTAATTAAACGTTGAATTGGCGTCAAATTAATGTTGAAATCATCGTATTTATATCAATTCGACATCGATTCGATGAGTCATTTCTCGTTGGATAATATTTACTTCTTAAAAATAAATTTTTTTTTTTTATATTTTCTCAGTCCGAATACTTTTTTACTCACTGTATGAATGCTTAATATGGCGACAAATGTTGCAAGTTGTTCCGTTCAGGGAACCTCGCAGTATAGAGGATATTTTCTGTGACTAACTTTTTTCTCCTTATGCTTTCTAAATGTCCCAATTACTAGCACAGTAACTTGTAGCGAAAGAGAATTAATAAATTATCGACGCGTCACAATAAATACATGAAATTAAATTTTTTTTTTAAATGTATGGACATTTAAGATTATAATTACATAATTTCTTTTTTTCTTAGGAATTCTTAATTTATTTGTTACATTTTATAAACGTTATTTTTGTACCATTTAATGACATATGTATTCAAAATTGTCCCAGTTTGTGACGCATATTGGTCCATATCATTGATAGGATCTAAACATACAACATCCCTAATATTGACACGTCATATAGATATAGAAACGTTCTTATTACTGACATCCAGTTAAATAATCTTATATTTAATTTGAATTATTTTTAATCGTATCTATAGATCGCCAATATTTACGATAACAACATATTGTACTCAATATGTTGTTAATTTGATTCAAACATGGGATTTAAACAATTTAACTAAGGAAAATATACTGCCGTCTTAGGTTAGGAACTGTACCGGCTATCACAAATTGGTACAAAATCATGAGTCTCCCTATTACTAATTTAAGCAAGATAATTCATAGCGTAGGGCTCATATTTGTATATTCTTTAAATTCTGAAAGAATATAACTTACGATATTGATATCGTTCCTTGATTTAATAATAATTGATATTTATACGTTACGTATTTTATTTAAAAATAGGAACGATTTTATTGTTTTATATCATATATTTGTTTGAAATGTCAGTAATAAAAACAAACAAAATTTGAGTACCTATTAATGACACGTGCATCAATTATCAAAATATGAACTTTTGTGATGTTTTCAGTTGTTATTCGCAATGTTTTTAATATCTATTTAACTTTGGGTGCTTACTTTCATTTACCTTTAATTTAATAATAGTTAGAATAATTCGACGAAAGGACCATCGATATAGTCGTTGCCTTACAAGATGTTAGCGAGCATCTGTTAGATTTGTCATCGTTGATAACATGCTTATAATTTTAATACATTAGCGTTTACAAAAGCGCTTAATTTTATTCAAAATTCGTTGTAATAGATGACATATACAATTTGGAATACTAAAACATTTCTTGGAATTAACATTGGTATATATTAATTGATTTATTGAGAAAAACGGTCACGATTGTCACTAATTGGGACATTTAATTTAGTTAAGTCTCCTTATTTTTACTTCATGAGACTAAGCCTTGGATTCTCTTAACATATGGAATAAATTATAAAATGGCTGGCTTTGATGTATCTGTTTAATATTCATATTTGTACATAGAACAATTATGAAATCATATCATATAAAAAAAATCCAAATTTTATTTAAAAATGTAAAGTTCTTTAAATCTTTATGGTGCTTTCATCTAAAAAAAATTAATGTAACCAAAATATACGTTCTTTTGGAATCTGCTGTATTACTTTCATATGAAACGTTTTTTGTTTAAAAAAAAACAATTGAAATATTTAAAATTTTCAATTTCTCTATCCTTTGTATGGGTTAGAATCAATGAATTTAGTTACAATATACTTATGTGTTAAAGTAAAATAATGTACTATAAACCCTTATATAAAATTCTAATACCAAAACTAGCCAATTAATCACATATTTTCAATATTAAAAGTGCTGTCAACAATACTTTTAACAATCAAAATGAATGATTAATTGCGACCAGTGTATTACTATTAAATGTCTATAAGGGAAAGTAACCCAAAAATTAATAGAGAGTGTCGATCATACATTTAGTAAACTTACAAAATTGTTGTCAATTCTATGAGCTTGTTCAATACTTTAAATGAAAAGAATTAATTTTTACTTTTTATAACTTTATATTGAAAAACATTATGCACTTATTACATGAACATGACGATAAAGAAGAATGGTATGACATACATATAAAGAATTAACGCATTAAACGTATTTGGCACATTAACGTATTATATAACGTTGTAAAAATATTAAATATATTCATTTATATGATTATTGCTTCTATAAAGGATGTATACATAGTTAGTGATACATGTCATAAGTTTTATTATTTTTTTCTAATGAGACACTTTTATAAAGGCAAAATTTAACTTATACAATAATTTGTTTCTTTTTTATTTCCATATATCTTATTTATTAAGAAATAAATATTGTAATATTCTTTTACACTCTGTATGTACTTTATACCCTGCTCTACAATGTAATTTCTAAATGTCAAAAAAATTCAACAAAGATTTATTCTAGTAAAATATAAAATGTCAATTTTTATTACGATATATAAATTGTTCATGTACCTCAACGTCTTGAGTAACCAAAAAAGTATAGCACCGTTCTGTAACATTGGGAACCAACAACCTTATTGTTTTATTGAACATAATATCCACTTTAGTAGGATGGTGTTCTGCATCTATATAGCCAGTACCATTCTTGAAGGCAGTGCACGATTGCATTGCAAGCCTTGGATAAAAATAATTACAATTGTTATTAAATACATTTTGCCTTAAAATGAATGATTAATTAGGAAAGTAATTAGTTTATCTCGTTTTGTGTGAAGAACAAAAAGTGATGGTAATCGGAATTTTGGTTTATTTGTAAAGTTACAGATTGAGCTAAAACTAATGTTAAAAGAACAATAGCTATTACGTACGGAAGTACGTAAGAACTGTATGAAATTAGCGAAAAAGTATTTAAAATTTTTTACTCTTTTAAAATTTTTCTGTGATTCGGTGTTTCTTCAAGCTTTGTTGCTCATGTTTTCTTGCATGCCATAAGATCTGATCGTATAATGATACACTTTTCGTCATTAATATTGAGTATTGACGATCGCGATCCTGTGTGCTGTTTTATAAAGACAAAAAGATGCTATCTCTTCTTGATATTATAAAATTTAAAAGTAGAAGAAAGAAAGATTTCTTAGGAAATCTTATACGCGTTACCTTTGCCAATACAGACGTAAAAAGTATAATAAATTCAAATTCAGACGTGATAATTATCACATTATATTTTTACTTCGCGAGAAACTTAATTGTCTATTACGTTGCTTTTATCGTCTACGAGTTATCCAGTTCTCGATGCC